AGGGAATGAAGAAGTTCAACTTGAGCGTTTGCGCATGCACGGTTATGCCAGGAAGCAGCGAGCTAAGCGTGAAGTCCAGGCTGAACGTTGCAATGGCGCCGAAGCTATGTATCCCGTGCGGGTGGTAAATGAAGAAGTAGTTCGCCTGGGGGTCAAACTTGGCCCGCACATGGCGGGGAATCACAAGACGCACTGGGAAGTAGTTCCTGTAGAGCCCCCACAGCCTGTGCCGCGTGAAGGCGACGCACTTCTTCAGTGGGTGCTTGGGCCGTCCAAGGGTGAAGATGTACACGAGGTACGCCAGCATGAGCGGCATGGTCGTCCAGCTCAGCAGCAGCGCCAGCGTGACCAAGACGGCAGCAGGAATGAATGTAAAGAAAAGAAACAGCGACACCGACAGCGTTTGGAGGCGGCGCTCGAGCGGGATGCTGAAAAAGTGCCACACGCGGCGCTCCCCGCCCTCGCAATCCGCATCGTCGAGGTCAAACGTGTGCGCCTCCGGCCGGGGACGCACGTACTCCTCCAGCTCCCCCAGCGCACAATCGCATGCGACCGCCTTCGCGTCCTGCCGCCTGGAGTCCTCCGTGCCTGCGCTGCTGCTGCGGCTGCTGTCGGTGGGGCTGGCGAGGGAGTCGACCGGCACACTGCGGCTGCGCAGCCTTCCCGTTTCGCCCACGGCAAGCCAGTAGGACTTCCGCAGCTTCGCCACCTCCCGCTGCGTGACGGGGTGGCGGTCGCGTATCAAGTCCTGCAGATGCTCGCAGGCGTGCAGGATCAGATCGAGGAGTTCGTGCATCTCCGCAGTGGTCGTTGGCTCCACAACGTAGGCCGCCGCCGGTGCGAGTGGCGTCGGGCCGCCGTCTTGCCGACCGGCAGCCATTGCGGCGTCTTTGCCACCTCGCATCTCTCACCCTCCTTTTTTTTTTCACCCTTTCCTCCGCACTACCCTTTGTTCCTTCCTTCCTCCCCCCTTTTGCTTGAATTGTGGTTCCCACTCACATCAAAGTTGTAGAAGAAAGAAATGGTAGGCCTGTGGAGGGGCAATTGGCCCGCACACGGCGCGGATGACAGGTGCAGCCCACACCGGGGACACCGCGGTGGCTTCTTCTCCCGGCCTTTTCTTCTTCCCCGCCTGCACTACGACGACGCCCCGTCACGTCTCCATGTCGGATTCACCCTCCTCCTCTTCCCCATCCTCGATGAAGCCGTCCTCCTGCTCCATGGCTCTCTCTAACGTCTCGCCGTCGGCCGCCGTCGCCGCCTTGGCGGCTTCTTCTTCTTCTTCCGCCGCAGCAAGCATTTCCGCCTTGATGCCCTCCACGTGCGGGGCGATGGCGTCCTTCCACCACGCGGGGAGCGCAGTCCCGTCGACGGCGAGCAGTTTCTCCGCCAACGCCGTCGACGCCGCATCCACGACGCCTGACTGGAAGGCGCGCATGTCCTCCGCGTTCTTCGCCCGCAGCGGCTCGTGGAAGTTGTACGAATCCCGCAAACTGCGGACAAAATAGTCCTCCATCGCGTGCAGGCGCCGCTGCACCAGCACCGCCATCTCCGCCTCACGGTCGTACGTTGCCTCGTCCGCGTCCTGGATGGGCGTGTCCTTCAAAGGGTCGCCCACCTCCATGCTGCTGTCGAGCGGGGGGATCGGCAGCAGGACCCCGCTCTCAAGGCTCATGCGCTTCTCCTCCAGCGCCCCCGTCTCCTTGTTGCGCACCCGCACCACGTCCAGGTTGCACAGCTCGTTCGTCGACGGGTCCACGTGTCGCACCCGCCCCACACTGATGGGGTGCTCCCGCTGCACCACCTGCTCCGGCCGCGTCTCCGACGCAGGGATCACCACATCCTGCACGTTGATGTTCTGCACGATGATCTCATTCTTGTACTTCGCCACCGCGATGATCGCCCCGCGCTGCCCCACGCCCTCGCCGCTCACCACCTCCACCACGTCGCCCGGGTACCAGATCCACGGTGTGATGACGTAATCCGGGGCAAAGTAGCGGTAACGCGCCGACAACTGCATCTTCTGGTGTTGTTCCAGGTCGCGGCGAATCCACTGGTTGTGGTACGTGTGGTCCTGGTAAAAGTCGCGCTCCCTGGGGTGACGAATCGACTCCAGCAGCTCCAGCCGCTCCCGATCCCGCAGGTCCACGGTTTCGTCGCTGTGCACGCCCCTGAGAAGGCCCGGCTTGACCTTCGGGCGGCGCAGCGTGTTGGGACTCACATTGTACGCGCGCAGCGGCCGTTCAGGACGCTTGTAGAACTTGGAGCGTGTGCGGAAGCGGGCGTACATCTTCTTCACCGCCCCACCGCCGCGCCCGCCCTGCCCTTCGCCGCACAACCCCCCACAGGGCACCTATATGCAACTGCGTGCGTGCGGCCTCTCGATGCCGATTGGCCCCAGCTCCTTCCACGGCCCAGAGGGAAACAGAGAGAAAAAAGGAAAAGGCGCAAGGTCGGCGCGTGCAGGAGGAAGATGCCACCGTCGGCACACCGGAAGCTCCGCGCCGGGCAGGCACGGGACCGAAAACAGCAAAACGGGCAAACCAACAGATGCAGAACTATGAAAACGGCAACGAGGCTGTGGGCGCGGGGCGAGGGTTGGCGGCCACAAATGAATTGCGTAGCCGAGGCCGTCGGCTTCTGCAGCCGCCTTCGCTGCAACGGCACAAGGTGCAAAAACCAATATCCCCCCACGATCCCCCGCCAACTCACCGACGCACGTATACACTCAAACTTACTCACATAAAGGCAAACGTAACAAAAACAAAACAAAAACAAAAACAACAAGATAACGAAGTAGCACTGTCACTAAACACTACAAAAACTAATGAATACGCAGGCCACTGGATTCCACGTCGTACACGGCGCGGTACTCGTCGAAGAGTCGCTTGAGGGCCGTGACGTACTTGTCGTGCCACTCCTGCAGGTCCTCCGCCGTTGGCTGGGGGATCTTCGGCACCAGCAGCGGCTCCCCAACCACCACCGTGATCGGGCGGCGGTGCGGCAGGATGCCGAAGCTGTAGTTGAACCAGCCGCGGCCAAGGAACAGGGGAAAGCCAAAGGTCGTGGCCTTGCGAAACAGCTTCTCCACGCGCCTCCACCACGCGGAGGTCGCGACGCGGGGAATTGCGTAGACGTCGTTCTCTCCAAACGCATACACGGGAACCAGCGGGGAGCCCTCCTGCAGCGCAATCTTCACGAATCCCCGCCGGTTCTGCAGCCTAAGCTCGTTGTGTTCGGACTCGCCAGAACGCTCTCACTCGCGCCCCCCA